AAGAGTATTCCACTAGTGGATATACCAAATCTTCTTGATCCAATGCTCTAAGTACTAAGGTTTTCTCCATACCCTGGCTACTGTAACAATGCCTCAAGAAAGACTGCAGAGTATATAATTTTTTGAGTTGATGGCTTCAAATTCTCTGGATAGATTTCTAAGAGTGGGGTTGCTGCATCATATGGTATTTTCATTTTTAGTTTTTAAGGTAGATCCAGGCCATTTTCTAAAATGGCTGTACCAATTTACCTTCTCACCATCAGAATAATAGGCTCCTCTTTCTCTGCGTGCTCTCCAGCAGCACTTGCTTCTGGTTGTCTACCCATTTATCACCATCAGAAGAATGGTGGCAGTGACGGGTATGTGTATTAATATGCTACAGGAATTGAAAAAAAAATGAAATCATACCTTTTCTGACAGAAACTATGATTTGATTTGACTGGCTGACAATAATACCTAGCTTTGCCTACAAAGCTCAGATGAAGGACATGCAATGTTTTGGAAAAAAAAAAAATAAAGCAAAAGAGAAACTAAAAAAATATTAGCTCAGAGAAAAAGGGCAGGTGGGGATCTTTCTTTCAACATATTTTTGAGCTCCTTCTTGGGCAAGCCATTGTACATAAAGATGTAAATTCCAAAAAGACCTACAGTCAATACTAACAATACAATGAAGACTGCTGTTCTAATAAAGGGGTGTGCAGCCTGCAATGTCATCAATGGAATCATGGGAGGTGTTCTGAAATGAGTCATAGATTTATTTTCCCAAGTTTTCAGAATGTATCAGGTTAAACCAAGAGGCATCAAATCAAAAGAGTAATAACGAAAAGTCATGTGTTTCTGATAAAGCCATTTTGGTGAACTTCCCAGAAACCGCAAAATTGAGTAACTTCTATAATGGGTGAGAAACTCTTTTGCAAATCAAGTGAATTCCTCCTATTCCTTATTATCAACAAAATTGAAGGAAAGCAAGATTGAATTGTAGCTGATTATCAGACATTGGTTTGAATGATAAATCCCCTGGAGATGTTTGACATATGAATCAGATGGAGTAGAAGAAATTCAGTGACTTACTGAAACAAAACTCCTATGTCCATCTATTTATGTTTATAAACAAAGTTCTTCAGCACTTAAATATATAAAAACATAGAATTTGATGAATAGCTTCCTCATCTCAATAATATGTAATATTCATCCACATAAGCAACACAGTAATGTTTTTCTAAAAATTATTTTACTTCTCTGTTTAATAATCATTCATTAAAATTTTAGCATGTTTGTGGTATTCTGATCAACTAAGGGCTAATGAGGATAATATAGCTCAATCCAGAATTTATTTTCAACATATAATTTTAATTATGCAAAATAACAAACTAAATTTAGATCCATATAGTCATGAAAGAAAAGTGTAATACTGAGGAATGAATTTTAGAAATCAAAGTAATTAGGATAAAATTCCATGGAGAACAAGTTCAAGATGAAAAATTAATGATATAAAATACTTAACTGTTAAACGAGCATGTTCATAAATTTTTCAAATGATTGATGGCAGATTATCAAGTCACTGTGGTTTTATGATTTTATTTCAAACATTCTTTAAAAGGACAATAGTTTTATTTTAAAATAATAATGTTTACAGTAAATGAAATTATATCCTTTGAAAGGATGAAAATGTTTACGGTATTTTAGTTTTTCAAAATAAAATTCCATGGTAGTCAAAAAAAGGAATATGAAAACTACCAACATAAGAGTTTTGTTTTACTACGGATTCCTCAATATCTAGCTGCATAATATTCCCTGAGGGAGCTAACAAGCCATGGGGAAGAACACAGTGACTGAGAAGGAACTGAAAAGCAGACATCTTAGAGCACAGCAGCCAAGATGTTGAAGTAAACTGCAGAAAGAGGAGGTGACAGGAAAATCATAGGACACACTGATGAGAGAACAATCCATCAGGGCACAGAAGTCAGTGCTTCTAAATGCTAGATGAAAGGAGAACAAAAAGTTTGGGCCTTTCATGATACAGAAGTAAATACTCCCCAGGAATAAAAATAGGACTCTAAACAAGGGAGGACCACAATACATTTTTTCCATTCCCATATTTCTAAAGAATGTGCAAAGAAAACAATGGTTCGTATTTTTATTTCTGAATTTCAGTGTTGCTACTTTAACAGATCCTTTCCTTTTTAAATAATAATTCCTTTAACGGTTTTGAGGAACTCATGGCAAACACACAGGGTTTTATTTTTGTCCAGCTTCTTTTTTAAAGCAAAGAACTTCTAAAACTATACTAATAAAAGTAAATATGGTTGCTTTCACCTAGTAATTCAAGTCTTTGAAAACACGAATTAAATAATATAGAAAAGGAAAACACACTCGGAACCAAATTATTCCTCGCAAGAAAAAAATGATTACATGATTACAAGACAAGAGTTGTAATCATGATTACATGATTACAAGAGTTGTCTCACCTGACAACTCCTCCACTCACCTCCTGCACCCTGTGAGAATTCTTGATCCCCCTAACTTGGGGATCTTGGCAGAGTAGGAGATGTGGGAAGTTAAGTGCACTTAAGTTCTGTTTGGGATATATACAGTTAGAGGAAGTGTAGCCTTTGTTATAAAGATATCCAGCAGAGAGCAGGATTATGAGTCGTGAACTCTGCATAGAACAATCTGGCTGGACATTACAGTTGGCATGGAAGTTGCCAGGAACTGTGTGCAGGCCAAAAGGAGAAAAGGGTGAAACACAGATACCTACAATAAACTAATGTTAAAGTAATAAATGGAGAAGTTGGTTGTGATGTCTTAAATGGATCTTAAAGAAAGAGGATTTCTGGGGACCAATTCTCCCACAGCCAGTCACCAAAGAATTCATTCATTTAAGTATTCAAATTTGCCTATTTTAAAAGCTTGTTTCTTTTAACTATTTGTAAAGTAGCTGTCAAAGAAATGGCCATGTTCTCAGCATGATTACAAGACAAGCGCTTAAGTTCGTGCCTGCTTAAGCATAGGAAGACAGAAGAGCAAGGCATAAAGAGCAGCTCCGACAGCATGTGCATATGAGAGGTCAGAGTAAAGGGTGGTAAAACTTAGGACACACATTTCTGGACAATGGTGGTAGAAGATTTCAGAGGAAGACTGAATGGAAAGAAAAGTAGTACCGAGGAGAGGGTGTTGCTGTTATTTTTCCTTTCATTTTTTTTAACCTAAGAGACTCAGGCAGATTTATGTGTTCAATGAAAAGATGCAGCACTTCAGGTAAAATGAAAGAAATAAACAGAAAGAGCAGAGTAATTGATACTTGATTTTCCAGAAGACGAAGGGGGATGAGATCTGAAGTAAAGGGGGAAAGGGAAGATACACATCCCTAACAAATTTCTGCAACAGTCTTTCTGCTAGGTCAATGCTCTTGCCATGACCAAGTTTGTGCCATCTATTCAAAGGTCCTAATATGAATCTAATTAGAAAATTTTGTTGTTTGTGCCCTGAATTCACAGAAGCAAGAACCAAGCATGAAACTCTGCCAACCTTGAAACTTATTTTCACAGTACTTGCATTAAATGTAAAGAAAAAAAGAGATTTTTTTTTTAAATAATTTTTTTTAAGATTTATTGATTTATTTATACAAGCACTGGGTACAGTCAGAAGCGCGGGAGGGTGAGAGAATTCACCAGAGCCAGAGCGGGGAGCAGAGCAGGCAGAAGGACCGAAGTACACTGCTGAAGGGGAGCAGCAGGTGGCAGGAGAGGTCTGCATGCCACGTGGGACCCTCCTCCAGTGGCCGGGGAGCAGTTGGGGGTCGAACCAGCGCTGCAGGGGCTGCAGGCAGCTTTGCAACCCAGCACTCAACCGCTGCGCCACCGGGGAGGCCCCAGAAAAAAAGAGATTTTAAATTTTCATTTTACATTCTCCCAAACTCTCATTCCTACTGCCACTTCCCTGCAATACCCTACTGCTCTCCCAGTAGCTTCCCACTTCACCAGGACAAGGAAAAAAAAAATCATTGCTTTTTTCACTCATTACACTCAAATCTTACTTCACAAGTATTTGATGTCAACCATGATTTACTTAGAAATAATTATTTTTCATAAATGCACCAATGTTTCACTTCAAAATTGTCAGTAGCTTGCTTAAGATGACCACTGTAATCAGCTGTATCATGTCATGATTGTTAACTAATCCCTCATTAAGAAGTTATCAGCTCATAGAAATGAACTTACTGCTTTTAAAATGTTTATTTTATAGTCATTTTAGGATCTTCTCTAATTTAGCCTAGTAATTTGTCAAACAACTAGGATAGAATCATACAGGACTCATGCACTGTCACATAAAATCCTGGTGACTTACTGTGATTTAAAAAATTTCTCCTGCTACACTTTTCTATAGGAATCTAACTAAGAAGATCTGAGTTCACTATATTGTTTAAATTTTATAACTCCTCTGTAGCCATGGGCAAGGGAACAGTGAGAAAAGCCAGGGACTGAAAAGATAGGAAAACCCATAGGAGAAACTGCACACATATCTAGAGATCACAGAACAGACTAGTTATTAGAAGTTTGACTAAAAGAAAGCATCTACCCATAGACTACAGATTCAAACAATGCAACGGAGATAATGGTGCTTTTATTTAAGAACTAAATTTTCATTTTTAATTTATGCCTAAAAAATTAACATTTTTGATCTTTTGAGAATTTATACAAGTATCAATTCCTAGGAAAATTTCTGCCTTCCAAGGTAGAAACTATTGCTACTGAGTATACACAGAAATAATTCCATTGATTGGCAAAAGTAGTAAATTCCAAAAACATAATTTACTATAAAGAAAGAAACCTTAAAAGAGGCATCAGCTAGCATGCTTAGGGGTAATTAAAGGGGATTGTATTTTATCTTGAAAATCAAAATCTTATGGAAAATAAAGACTTAGGCTAGTTACCAACATAAGCCTGCTTTTTTTTTTTTTTAAGTGAAATATAAAACAAACAAAAAAACAGTTAACTTACCGTCCGTCTGAGATTTACTGAGGAATATTGTGCTGGCCCGAGGATGGTCTGAAGGATTGAATTCCATGTTCAAATCTTTAAGAAAGAAAAAGAAATACATGAATATCCATTTGATAACTAAGAACTGGGGAGGAGGGGAGGAAGGTGAAGCATAATTAATTTTCTTCAACCTTAAATTGCTAATATAGTCAAGGATTCTGGAAAAATACCCATAGCTACTGTGCTAATAGTTACTCTAGGTTCAACTGAGAATACTGCTATTTCAGAAATTTGAGAATGTCAAACATGAAAAATCTCCTGGATGGAGATCTCTTAGCCTGAAACTCCATTTTCTTTTTATTTATCTGCATCAGAATCTTACAACATGGGCAGGCAGTTGTGCTACAACTGACTCATCTAAACTCTATTGTTAAGTCAATGGTATTTCCTTGTTAAGGGTGATTAAAATGGCATAGCTTAGTAGTTAGACCAAATTAACATCCACTTACTCTGTTTAATTAAGATTATTTTTTAATGGACATTTATCCTTTAGAGCAAAGGTTGCAAACTGGCCCTCTGTGGGCATACATCTAAGCCATGGACGTGTTTTATTTGGTTCATACATTTTCTTCCTTTTTTTTTTTTTCCAAAATTTGGGCCAACATGATTTTTATACTTCAAGCATATACCATAAAGGAAAAAACAACAACCATATTTCCATCTTATCTTGAGAAATCAGATCAACTGGCAACATCAGCCCAAACCCAACAGTCACAATCACCAATGAGCTAGAGTGCTGCAGCTCCAGACCCATTCTGGTGGGACTGAAAACTCCAGCTCTGACCTCTGCTTCCCTGGTCCTGGCACTGTCCCTCACTTTTGTACTGTACCACCCCTCAGACATTTGATTTTGTAATTCCTGGCTTAGCAGTCTCCAAGGGATAGTCAGTATGGTATAAAAATCTTAGAATCTTAGCACAGACGAGTTTCTCTAGTATAAAAAAATTTTGATTCCATTGAGAACGAATAGGTAAATAAAACAAAAGAATTAAGTAGGGGAGACAAGAAGAAAAAATTATTGAAAAATCAGAATGGTCTTCAAATTGGCCAATATTTTTATAGAATCAGAATGAACACTATTTTGAGTTCAATTATTTCAATATACTTTCAAAGAAAAAACAATACCAACACAAACAGATGGGATTTGTTCCTAATGTTAACAGCTAATCAAATCAAGGATAAAAGAAAAAAAAAAAAAACATGTGGTCATGCATGCATTGAGACAACACCTAATTCAAAGAAACTTACCCTCAGCAACCTTTGAAGCAAGGGAATTTTTCCTACATTAGTCAATGGTTTACCAGTCTATAGGCTTCTGACCTCTCATTAAGTGCCTGTTTAAAAGACTATCGATGAACTCTTAAATGCTATTTTAATTATTTGGTTGTTTTTCTGTGATAACTATTAAAGTCATATATAGTAGTTTCACAACTCAGGCTTTAACAGTGTTTTGATGGAAAGAAAAAAGACAAGTGAAAGAGAGAATTTTTCTTTTTTTTCTTTTTTTCTGAGATTCATTTATTTATTTATACAAGCACTGGGTACAGTCAGAAGCACAGGCGGGTGAGAGAATTCACCAGAGCCAAAGCAGGGAACAGAACAGGCAGAAGGACCAAAGTACACTGCTGAGGGGAGCAGCGGGCGGCAGAGCAGAACCGGCACTGCAGAGGCTGCGAGCAGCTTCGCAGCCCAGCGCTCAACCGATGTGCCACCAGAGGAGGCTCGAGAGAATTTTTCAAACTTTCTTCAATTTGAAATAAAGTAAGACCAGAAATTTCCCGGTGAAAATGAGTATTTGTGAATTTTATGAGGTTTCCTGTTCAACTAAGATTTTGTAAGAAGGTGCTAGTTTTTTTTTGCTGTTTTGTTTTGTTCTGATGAGGGTAGGAACTTCCCATATGAAAAATAAGGGCATATATACAATCCCAACCATGATGCATATTGCCCAAAATCTTAATTCATAATCCCCACAGTAAAACACCAGCTGAGAAACTATATACTGTGCACACAGCACTTCAAGCCTGTGGGGCAACATTAAGACCCCAGACTCATCTCTCAGTTTTCTTTAAGACACACTTTCTTAAAATTGTCTTGTTTTCTTCTTGGAGACAAAAGCGCACAAGACTGCCAATTTCTTAGGAAATTGAGATCCTGCTTTTATGTCAAGAATGTCTTGGAAGGCAAGTTGTCCTAGAAATTAGGACAGTGTGCTTACAAGGCACACAAGTACACAAAATTGTTAAAAATTTGAAAGCCGCAGATTCTGAGAGAACCCCCCTTCAATAATAGGGTATTTTTATATTAAATAATAATACAACAAGATAAGTAATATTCTACCACTAAAAACTTACCACAGTTCACTATGGTGGAAGATTATGGGTGCTTTGGTGGTGGGAGAACTATGGTAACCACAGCTAAGGGGAGAAATCCCATATTGTGAAAAAATTAACACGGATGTAAAATAATGGCATTATCATTAAAACATATGTATACAGTAAAACAAACCTTAACAAATAAGGAAAATTCTTATCAAGAACATATTATTCACATGGGAATAGATAAGCCATGTCATTAGGTAAAGAATACAACCCAATCTCTTTTTTGGGGGGATAACAGAAAACATTTTTAAAGGAGATATATCAAAATGTAATAATCTGAAAAAAGCAACTGAATTTTTTTTAACTCTTCTGTTTTCTGCACTGGGCATATTTTTGCTCTTTGCTGTTTTAACTTTCACAATTTAAAACAATTTTATATAGTGGCGCTACTATTTTTTATTGTTTTATTTTTATTTAACTGCATTATTTTTATTGCGGTAACAATGACCTGCAACTCTGTATAGGACTTGGGGCTACCTCTTCAGATGTATGTTACCACACTACACTCACCACGAAAGCAGCCAAAATCCTTAAAGGACAAGCCTGAAAGAGGGATTTCTCAAAGTAACCCTTCAAGTGAAGGGGGCCCAACCACAGAACTTGGCTTATCCAACACTGATTTAAATAGCAAAATACAAAGGTACCAAGATTTCAGCTAGAGGTCTTGAAGAGAAATATGATAATTTCAATACATGCATTGGTGAGGAAAGGTGGGAAACAGAAAAATGGTAAGAGGCAGCATTCAAACAAACCGAGCAAAATAAATCTGTCGCATTGCTCAAACTCACACTCTCAAGTATGACAAAACTGTTACTTTTACCAAAAAGAAAAGACTCCCTACAGTGAAGAGTCAGGAAAAATCATACCCCAAGCTGGTATTATTTGATATCACTTCACTAAGTTGGAACATATTTGGAAATGTGCAATGGCTCAGTAATTTCTTTTTTCTGAATGGCAAGAAGCAAAAGGAAGAGATTTATGGAATATTAAGTTTAAAATTAGAGATCATAGAGGAAATAAACTTCACTGCTAGAGAATGCAAACCACTCTGCTAAGGTCAGTCCCACCAATATATCACAGTAAGTTCTCAATGGTATTTATAGCTTTTTGGAAATTGCAACTCTTAACAAAATGACATATGTGGTAGGTGTCTTTGTCTTATCAATGTTATAATGGAACAATGTTGAATGAAACATTATCGAGCACCTGGTATACCTGTTTTAAGTCACAATTTAAACACTAGTGAGTTACTACTGCTGACATTAGATCCTTTCTTATTTAATCACCAAATCAAACACTCCAAACCCATCCCCAAACTCTTCTTGGAAACATACATTGCCCTGTTATCCCGGCTTTTGCTTTTTCCACCTGTTCTCCTGAAGCTCTTCAAGTACATGATGTGCTAAGATATCCAAAAGAAGCAATGACACAACAGGTGATTATTATTTACTTGGTTGGGTCCCTTTTTGGTGTCATTTTAGCAGGCACCACTGCATATCCTGGAAAGAGTGACACCCCACTGGAACATACATTTCCATCCAGAAGAAAAGGCCTACAGAGATATGAGCTGGCGACTGATAGCACATAGAAGCCAACAGCTCAGCAAGAAAGGAAAATGAGCACCTGGCACAGAGAAGGGTGAGATAGTTTACCCCACATGAACTTACACTGTAATCAACAAGGCAAGGAAAAGGACATGATACTACTAGAACACAGGACCAGCTAGTGAAAGATGAAGATGGAAATATCTGACTGAACCCTAAGAGATGGAGAATACTGTGTTTAAATTAAAATAGCTTAATCACTGAAATCTTTCTCAGAGTCAAAAATTTATTATACTCCCCCCCCCATTAAGACTATTCAATTAAATTCAGTTAAAATGAGTCCCTATTATATGCCAGGTATTGTGTTCAGTCCTGTTGGTATCAAAAGACTACTTTGAGGGAGTCAACATCTTTGCTTTATCTATCATCTATGTTAACTGTTTAATGGTTCATAAGTAAACATTCTAGGTTTTAAGACTAAAGTCAACTAGTGGTTAAGACAAAGCATATATTTAGATAACTTCAAAATGCATCATATGACATTTCTACTTATAGTAGCGAACAAAACAGATCACATTTCTGTTCTAATAGAACACCCATCTAAGTTGAAGGTGTGAAGTATCAGTGGAGAAAAATAAAAGAAAAACCCACTAAGTATACTCTGTAAACCTTATAAACTACCTACAGAAAGCTGAAGTTCAACTGTCCTGGAGTTCTAGCAAATATTCAGTCCCCAAAGTTCACCATTTGTGAAGCTCAAATGGTGTAACAACCTATAAAGCTAAAAAATCTAGATTTGAATTCCTCTCTATTATATGTGTTCGGCAAATTGCCATACTATTCTGGGTTTCATTTTCCTCATCTACAAAGTGGGTTAATAAAACACCTAACATTATTGCTGTGATAATTATAAGTTATGTATATAAAGAAATGAGCAGGATATCTGCCACATAACAGGTGCCCCATAAATAATGGCTATTTAAATTTCAGTGTATTAGAAAACATTATTCCACAGTACCTAGCTCAGTACTAACAAGATTAAATTCTCAAGACCTGTATGCTAAACTCAGAGACACTAAAGATGGTATTTAATCTTTAATACACACTTTCTGTT